TTTTTTTTATTGTTTGGGATTCATTGAATGTACAAAGAATTAGGTTACACTGATTGCATTTTTTAGATAAAGTCCCTCAGCATGTTTTCATATCTTTTTTTTTAAGTTTTGACTTTATTTATTTTATTTTATTTTTAGTTCCCTCTCTTTAATATAGTGTTCTACACATTAGAACACTATACATTATCCCCTACACATTAGGAGATAAATAGAAGAATGCAGAATAAGTAATTTTTTGAAGTAATTAAATAAATATATTGAAATCAACTGACAGCTTGCTTATACATTAGTACTACTGAAGTTAATTCAGTGAGCATAATTTTTTTAAACATGTAAAACCAACTTTTACCTAGAATTTCATTAACACCTAGGTGGAGAGATCTATATCTATATCTATCTATATCTATATATATGTGTGTGTACATTATATACAAGGTATCCATAAAGTTCATGTGAAATTTACCACATTAAACTATTTTTTATTGCACATGAACTTTATGTCCACTGTGTGTGTGTATATATATATATGTAATGTTTATATATAATATATATGTGCACACACATGCACTTTCTTCAATCTAATGATGTATTTGTTTATGTTATAATAGTTTCTTAATTCTATTCACTTAGAAATGTAATAGCAATAATTTTGGAAAGATAGAAATCTTGCCCTTACACTTCAATATCATTTAGTTTATCAAATTTCACCTCTTTGTGTCTAAGCAAGATAAGCTCAGAGTCATGTTGAATAAGAAATGAATCAGAGAAAAAATATTTTTGCAACAAAAAATACTATTCTGCAAACAGCATGCCCATTAAGGAAGGACAAGTGTGAGTTGAGAAGGAATGAATTAAGAGGAGGGAACTGGGCTGCAGATGCATTTTATTGCTACATCTCAATGTGAGCTGCTGGGATTGGTCCCTTTGTGGTCTTTAAATATCACGTCTCAGGGACTAATTTAGTTCCCTCTCTTTTTTTTTTAATTGTTTGGGATTCATTGAATGTACAAAGAATTAGTTTACACTGATTGCATTTGTTAAAGTTCCTCAGCATGTTTTCATATCATTTTTTTTTAGTGCTGATTTTATTGGTTTTATTTTATTTTATATTTAGTTCCCTCTCTTTAATATAGTGTTCTATATATTAGGGGATAAACAGCAGAATGCAGGCACAAAGTGAAGTTGATTCCTGTCCTTATCTTTGTGAGGAAAAAAAGGAACCAAAAGAAATATAAGGCCTGAAAGATATCTTTCAATTAAAAAGTACAGGGAGGGCGGCACCTGTGGCTCAAAGGAGTAGGGTGCCAGGACCCATATACTGAAGGGGGCAGGTTCAAACCTGGCCCCAGCCAAAAATTGCCAATAAATAAATAAATAAATAAAAAGTGCAGGGAAATCAGGGCAGAACCTGTGGCTCAGTGAGTAGGGAGCCAGCCCCATATACTGAGGGTGGCAGGTTTGGCCAAACTGCAACAAAAAATAGTGGGGTATTGTGGAAGGTGCCTGTGGTCCCAACTACTCAGGAGGCTGAGGCAAGAGAATCGTCTAAGCCCAGTAGTTGGAGTTTGCTGTGAGCTGTGAGCTGTGATGCTACAGCACTCTACTTAGGGCAACAAAATGACACTCTGTCTCTAAAAAAAAAAAAAATGACAGTAAGGAAGACTTTACTCAAAGGAGGACTATCTCAACAGTAATAGGAATCACTGCTATGAAATTTTGCTGTGGAAGAAAATTCTGTATTCACTCCGAATACAGAGCTAGTATGCGGAAATTTATAGCCCAGAATCAGGGTGGAGATGCTTGGATGCAAAATCACCAAGAGAAAATACCAGGGGTAGGGGGATTCTGGCTAATATGACTTGATTAAATTCTGGTTGAAGAAGGGCAAAGGTGATCAGACATCACCCGAGGAATGGCGGAGGTTGGGAAACCTGACCAGACATAAAGGGGGAATCACACAAGGGAGAGCAGGGTGGGAATCTGTCTAAACTGACTTAGGAGGATTCTGGCTATGATTGAACAATGCAAAGGTCAACACAGAGATCTAAAAGTTCAGGCTTAGTTGAAAAAATTGCTCAGCAGAGCCTTAATAGTTTGACCAAGAAAGAAGTCTTGTCAATAGTTAGATAAAGATTTCAATTTTACCTAATCATAATGCAATCATAAGCAACAGTAGTTACATTATTTTGGTATGTAGAGCTAAATCATTGCAGCTGAGCGGTTCTTAATGTTGTGTTTCAGAAATCACCTGGAGAGATAAAGAACTCAAAGCCAAAGGCTCATAACAGAAGAAAAGAGACTGCGTCTTTGAATTTTTACCATGTTCCTAGACAATACATTAGTTATAGTAGTATGTCAAAATACGGTGCCCTACTTGAAAACAAACAAGAGTAGAAATCAGACTGATCTTAGAAACTTAGAGATTGTCAGTATATAGGAAGTGGGTGTTTTTAGGTATCTTTTCTTTCTTTATTAAAATAAAAATATCTTCAGATATGTCAGTACCACATTTTCCCCAGTTCTATTGCAAAAGCACACCAAGTATCTATGTAGTCAGCCAAAATATTCAACTTCTATACTTTTATTTAATGAAGACCCAGCACTTCAGACAAAGCCATGAAACTGGTGGTGATGCTTTTTAAATTCAACTTCTGAGTATTGAAGAATTTTTAGAAGCATAAATATATCAGACTACCTATGAAGTCACCTATATCAATGGTCTCCTCTACTCCTAAGGTTAAAATTGAAATTAAACAAGTAAACCTGTGCGCATCAATTGAAAAAGAAATTTGAGAAAATGGACAGACCTATAAAAATAAGAACTTTCATATGCTGAAAACAATTTTGAAAAAATTTTCCCTTCATCAACCATGTAACACAAATCAGTTAGAACTGAAGATACCCATGTAGTCACATGATTCATTGTTAATTTCAAAATGAAAATCTATGTGGATTGCATTAATTAAATTTTCTTGCTAGTGTTAATTGTTAACATGATTTTAATACCACTTTTTAAATTTCTTTTAAATATTAATGTTATAAACTGATTAGACTGAAGACAGGAGTCTATAATGAGAAATCATACAACACTAACAACATTCATCCTCCTGGGATTGACCGATGACCCACAACTTCAAGTTCTGGTATTTGTATTTCTGCTTATCACTTACATGTTAAGTGTAACTGGAAATCTGACAATCATCTCCCTCACCTTAATAAATTCTCAACTTAAATCTACCATGTACTATTTTCTTCAAAATTTCTCCTTCTTGGAGATCTCATTTACTACAGTCTGTATTCCCAGATTCCTTTATAGCATGTCAACTGGAGATAAGACCATTTCTTATAATGCTTGTGCTAGTCAACTATTTTTTATCATCCTATTGGGAGCAACAGAATTTTTTCTCCTGGCCATCATGTCCTATGATCGCTATGTGGCCATCTGCAAACCCTTGCATTATGTGACCATCATGAGCAGCAGAGTCTGCAGAAGGTTCATCCTCTGCTGTTGGGTAGGAAGTTTGTTAATCATAATCCCTCCACTTGGCCTAGGCTTAAATCTGGAGTTCTGTGATTCAAATGTCATTGATCATTTTCTCTGTGATGCATCACCTATTCTCAAGATCTCTTGCTCAGACACATGGCTCATAGAGCAGATGGTTATAGCCTGTGCTATAATGACCTTCATCATAACCCTTGTGTGTATAGTTCTTTCCTATATATACATCATCAAGACAATCCTAAAATTTCCATCTCCTCAGCAAAAGAAAAAGGCCTTTTCCACCTGTTCTTCTCACATGATAGTTGTATCCATCACCTATGGAAGCTGCATTTTCATTTACATTAAACCTTCAGCAAAAGAAGAAGTGGACATTAATAAGGGTGTGGCACTACTCACCACTTCCATCGCCCCGATGTTAAACCCATTTATATACACCTTAAGGAACAAGCAAGTGAAACAAGCACTCAATGACACAATCAAAAGAATTGCATTTATCTCAAAAAAATAGAAAACTATTGAAATTATGGATTCAATTTATCAGGAAAATTTGGTAGAGTGATTAGTATAAGATTAGAACAGATCCACAAGCTTTTTGGTGTTTGATAAGCACATAATTTGATAAGCACATAAATTTTAGTATACTGCAAGAGAAATCTGACAGAGTTAATATTTGTTAAATCTAATAAAAAATTTGAACTTGCATTGATGTCTTCTTATTTCTTTTCTAAGTAACCCATCTTTATTTTATTTTATAAAAGTATAAATATGCACCACAGATAATAAATTTATTGTATCACATAAATAGAATTAAGGCCATAGACCATGTAATCAATGAAATAGATTTAGAAAAGGCATTTGATAAAATAAAGATCCCTTCACAATAAAAACCCTCAATAAATTCAGCATAGAATGAAAAAATCTAAAAATTATAAGACACATATATAACAAGCCCATGGTCAACATCTAAGTGAATGGGGAAAAGCTAAAAGCATTCCCCCTGAGCACCAGAACAAAACAGGGATGCCCAGATTGATATAACAAACCTTACTAGAGCTACAAAGTGATATATAGCAGGGGACTTCCACACCCCACTGACAAAACTCCAAATAGAAAATAAATCAAAGAAACAAGGGACATAAATAGAATTCTAGAGAGAATGGGCCCTGATAGGTTGATCGGAGGAACTCCTAAAACAGAGCAAGGGTAGACCACTCCATTTAGAGCATAAGGCACTCCATCTGGGCTGTTCAGTGACCTCTGCTACAACCCCCACTTCTGGGACCCACCCAGAAGGAATGAGAAAACTACCAGACACAATGACTCCCTGGGAGGCTAAACCATAAACCAACAGAAGGGTCTCAGCAGAAAGCCAGGTAGACCCATACCTGGCAACAATTGCTAGTAACCCAGAGTAACACTCTTCCCCTCCTACCCTACCTAAAATCTTTAGAAGATAAACACTCTCCTTCGTCAGGGGTGATGCCTATTGAGCCTCAGCTCACCTCACTGAGGCACCAAATAAACTTCTGCAATTGCTCCACATCCAGCTTTGTGACTTGATCGAGTCCACCACTACCTTACATTTTGGTGGCCTCATGGGGAGAGGATCAAATCAACTCTCCCTTAGGAGTTTCTAGTTCTCCTCTTCCTCAGTTGTGACCCCGTTGATTTCAGACAGCAGACATCACCATCTCTTCTCCATTTAGCCCCGTTGCATCCACATGGGCTCCCTCTTCTGATTTTGGGTGAATGCTTCCCTTCCAGACTTTCCTGGCTCTTGTCTAAATCACCCAGGGCAATTCACCAAAAATCCAACGTTGATCAACCTTCAAAGCTTGACATCAGGTGTCTGGCATTGATTGACTCAGCTTCTCTGGATACCTGACTTGTAAGCCAGTTACCATTCTAGGGAAGCAGAAAAGCAGGGACTGGTGTTTATTTCCCTCCTCTGCCTATTCTATCTGCCCAGGTCACTCTCACCCTTCACACATCATGGGCAATGTCCTGACTTCCATCCCAAGGACCACCCTTCTGGGATGTCTTTTTAAAAATCTTAAGACTCTAAGCCTTTCTTCAAACATCCCTCCACTCCCAGTGGCTCATTTTCTACTAGAATGCTGCTTGGCTGCAATATAAAAAACACAAGCAGTCACGATGGCCTGAGAATGGGACATTTGACTTCAGCATTCGTACTCACCTTTGACAATTTTTGCTAGTGAAATGGAAAGTAGTCTGAGGTCCCCTATGTCCAAGCCTTTTTTACACTTAGTCCACAACCATCTCTTTGTGATTCTTGCTCCCCATCCTCAGTTCTCTTACTTCATACCCCTAAGCCAATTGACACCTCCATCCTATTTGACCCTAACCTTTTTGTTCCGCTCATCACAGGCCACCTATCTCCCTTAATCCTCCTTCTCCCTCTGCCCCTCCTCATCCTCCTGTGTATGATCCTCCACCTTCCACAAAACCTCTGCTAAAAGCTACCCACCCTCGTGACCCCTCTTCCTCACATACTGGTCAGGCAGGATTCAAACTCCAGAAAATCTCCCTGCCCTAGCTCCCGTCCTACTTTGGAAAGTGGCTGGGATGGAAGGAATAGTCCAGGTTCATGTTCCCTTTTCTCTGTCTCACTTACCACATATACACAAAAATCTTGACACCCTCAGATCCTAGTACAACCTCTATAGAAAGTTCTATCACCATACCACTAAGAACTAAAATAGACCTACCATTTGATCAAGTAATCCCACTATTGGCTATTTACCCAAAGGGAAAAAAAGCCATTTTATCAAAAAGACACTTGTACTCTAATGTTTATGGCAATACAATTCCAACTGCAAAGATGTGAAATCAACTCAAGTGCCCATCAGTACTTGAGTGGGTTAATAAAGTATGGTCCATGAATACCATGGACTACTACTCAACCATTAAAAAGAAATGGTGAACTAAGACCTTCTGTAGCATCCTGGAGGAAACTAGAGACCATTCTCCTGAATGATGTATCACTTCTGGGAATGGAAAAACAAATACCACATGTTCTAGGACCTCCTCACCCTTTTCCCAGAAACTTTATGAGTAATCTTCCCTCGGCTTAACATAAAATTAAGTAAAAGTTATAAATTAAACCCCCCCAAACTCACAAGATGCTATTTTCTGTTGCTTTAAAAGATAACTGCCACTCTGCCTGTGGAACAAGCCTTCCTTCGGTTTCTTTGTTATAAATACTTCAATAAACCTGATTTTGCCTTCCTCTGTTGGCTCACTCTTGAATTCTTTCCTGTGTGAAGCCAAGAACTCACTTGGCTTTCTGTCTAGACCCCAGTTTGGAAGTTCATGTTCTTGGGACAACATGATTGAAAAATTTTATGCACTCATGAGGAAGACCTGTGGGATAATTAGTTGGTGTATTTGGAGAAAGAAAAGTCTCAAAGAATAGGTTCTGTATTGTAAACAAAAGCCTTATGTAATTGTAAAGGTTTCCTTTTATATCTGCTTAAAATTATCCAATAATAAAAAATGATTCACT